AAGAATGAAACTTAATGGATGTTTCATAAATACTCTCAAGTTAGTAACTTTGCTTTTTACTCCCACTACAACACAATTTTAGTAATTATACTTGAGAGTTTTAAAGTGAGGAGATATAATTATGACAGCACTTGTGTTATTCTGGGTCCTCCAAGAAGTAGAAACCAAGAAGGATCAGATATGCAAGAGATTTATTAAAGGAAATGCCTGTGAGAGAAAATGTAGAGGGAGCCAGAAGAGGCCGGGAGGGCCACCATCAGACTGCAATGTAGGTTTAACCCTTGAGAAAGAGACAGCAAAGGAAAGAAAGCTTTCCACTGAAGTATAGGTCTCAGAGAGTTTCTTTCAAGACAATGAGGAGTCCTTGAGCCAAAGTCACCCATCAGAGGAATCCCATGTCTTCCAGGAATAGGCCTGCCTTAGGATCCCCACTACATTTAATCACTATCCTGGAGAAGCCCTTGGCAGCATGGCCAGAGCACACCAGCTGGGGCCATCTGCAATTTCATACCCACCCCCTGCAGTTGGACATCTGAGAGGAACATTTTCATGGCCACCACAGTACTGATTGTTAAAGCAGCTGTAGACACCTGTTCTGGATCATCTTAAATAGTGACTTGGTAAACCTCCCCAGTGACTCATACCAGTAAATGTCCACAGGTGGATTCATCCATCTCTGTTCCTAAATTAGAGTGTGGCTAATTCTTTCCAGATTCTTAAGGTCCTTAGAAGAAATATATGGTACCACATTAAGTTAAGCTCCTGACTGAAAATAATTTAAGAAGGAGGCCAGTGACTATTAATACTAGCCCACAATTAAAAGGCACATGTATGAGTATCCCCTGCATTTGCCTTAGTGATCAACTACAGTCACTGCAGCAATTGCTCACTATTTGACAAAAAATAGACTGAGGTACCACTGGTAACAATATTTCTGATTTGTGTTTGTCTCTTGTATATGCTGGACAATGAAGTAATTTTGTTTATGTATATTTGTTATGCATACCTAGAAAGAGTCTGTCATGGAAGCACAAAAAGTTATGAGTTAACCTGCCTGACTTAAGCTCATATAGATCTATGCTTGAAACTGGAGATGACTTCATTGTACGCTGAATCTCATAAGGGAAAGGTGGATTATCTGATAAATGAATTTGGTTAGAAAGGAAAATAGGGGCAGTATAGGGAATAGATGTTGAGGAGTCAACCACAGTGTTTACTAAATGGTGCTTAAAAAAAAAATTCCTCCAAACTGTAAAATGGAATCAAAACTCCCTAGTACGGCAGCCGAAGTCCCTCTAAACCTAGCCCAAACTTCTTTAGAGGTAACACTATGAAAGTCCTGCTGACTAGTTTCAGCCTCTATGAATATTTTGTCTTTCTCAAATTGAGCCTTTCATATTCATATCTGCATGCTTTGGAATATTATACAGCCTCACATTGTAATACCCTCCACCCTTATCTGCCCACAAACACATTTTTCTAAGCTGAGTTTCTGTGTCACCTTCTCTGCACATTCTTCTCTAATCCTTGGATCAGAAATAATTGCTGCTGCTTTTATGTGCCCTTGCACCTAATTTTGGTACTTAGATTAGTTGACCTGATATTAGAGTTGTTTTCATGTCTTTTCTCCTCTTTAGATTTATTGACCATAATAGCATTTCTATCTCCCAGACTGTCTCACAGAATAAGTGTCTAGTAAGGATATGTTGACTTTCATTGAATGGCTTCTGTTTTCTCCTAAGTAAAAGGAAAGATCTGGGGGTCTGCACCTTTGCATAAGCAATAGCCATTTCGAAGCTTAACCAACATGCCTTATTTTGTTGTTGTTCTGTTTTGTTTTGTTTTAGGCTTCTGGCAGCCTGAATCCATGGTTTTTAGTTTCTGCCTCTAGGGAAAGGGGAAAAGAGGGACGAGGAAGGGGTTTTACTTGTCCAACCAGAAACAGAAACTAAGAACCCACAATTGTATTCTCTCTCTCGGATACCCTTTAGTAAAAACAAATGCCAGTCACTATTTTTCATCTTTTTTTTTTTTTAAATGAACCATTATGCCATTCCTATGTTGTTAGGTTCCATTCCTCAGGCAGCTCCTGCTCCCAAATGGCAGGTACCTTCTGCTCTCTGACCCTGGAAAAACAACCTTTGTTCAAAGTCCTTTCTTCTACTACAGGAACACCAGAATACTCTCAGGAGTCAATTTAGAACAATAGTAGTATTTTACCTCAGGAGTGAGGTTGATGTAGGTGGAGACTGATTAAAACCTAAGAGCATAAATACATTAAAGATACCAAGCCAGCTTTTTTTTTTTTCTTTTGAGATGGAGTCTCGCTCAGTCCCCCAGGATGGAGTGCAGTGGCATCAGCTCACTGCAACCTCCACCCCAAGTTCAAGCAATTCTCCAGCCTCATCCTCCCGAGTAGCTAGGATTACAGGCACCCACCACCATGCCTGGCTAATTTTTGTATTTTTAGTAGAGATGGGATTTCACCAAGTTGGCCAGGCTGGTCTAGAACTCCTGTCCTCAGGTGATCCACCCGCCTCGGCCTCCCAAAGTGCTGGGATTACAGGCATGAGCCCTGGCCCCTGTTCCTGAGTCACCTTGTAACTTGAAACTTTCCTGACCCACTTTCTTTGATGTCCCTCTCCCACTTCAGTTCCCCAAGGTCAGTTGTTTCCTGATATGAAGCCTAAAACTTCAACAGACTTCACCTCACATTGGATTTCTATCCTGAATTATTCCAAATTCCGGCAAGTCTTATCCAAACTTTCTTTTCTGTGTAATTTTCTCCTTGCTCTTTCTTTCTGAAACCTGAAAGCATTTGGTCCTCTGCCAATCAGATTTCCACTAGTCTTCCAAAGAGTCAGTTATTAACTCACTAATTCAACAGATATTTTTGGACGTTCACTAAATACTTATTTATTCAGCATATATTTAGGTATTTATTAAGAAACTAAAGCCTACTCCCTGTCAGAAATGGAATTAGGCAATGAGGACCCAGTGGTGGGTAAAATGCAGACTGCTCTTTTTTCCTTTCATTGTAGCAGAGTTATCACTTTCCTGGGAAGACGTTCCTAACCTCCAGATTACACCACATCCTCCTCCTGACCACACCCCTCCACCTTGATTTTCACCTTCCAACCTCTCTTGTTAGAAATTCGAGCACCAGACACTCTATAGCTTTAGCTTAATTTCTCCAGCCACGCAAAGACGTATCTGTGTTAGTGAGGCCACAGGCACGTTTCCTTCCCAGTAAGACTATCACTCACTAGGCAGCATTTCTGTGGATACTTCCAGAGAAAAATGTCAGTTCTGGTCCTCCTAGTTGAATACCCGCCCCATGACCCTGAGCATCGCCCGGCTCGGAGTGCACGGCCCGCCGCCGACCATCAGGGGGCAGCCCTCCACGCAGAAGCTAGAGGGACGGGGGCGACACAGCGGCCACGGGCTCTGCTGAGCCCACCCCAGGGCCGGAGGAAGGGTGCCCGATTCCACGCGGGGTCTCCGCCGTGGCATACGTTGTTATTAGGGAATTACTCTCCCTGAATACGGTTTATTGGAGACTTAGAGTTAGTTTTTCTCACCAAGCGCGACAGCAACCTGGCAGGGCCCCCTTCAGAATCAAGAACCCGCGGAGGCTCTGGGGGAGCCGCTTTGGAGCCTCATGCCGGCCAAAGCATCTCTCTGGAAAGACGGGTCGCTCACCTGGTAGGCGCCCTGAGAACCGGAGGAACGGCCCCAGGTGGGGCCCGCAAATAGAGCAGGAGACCACGGGCGTGGCTCAGGGCCCGGAAATAACGCCCGGGCCTAGCCTCAGTGACGGCTCCGCCTCATCCCAACCTGCGCCCCGCCTCCGGACAGCTCTGTTTCCGATGCCTCCCAGACTCAGGGGTAGGCCCGCCTCCAGGATGGCCCTGCCTACGACACAACCCCGCCCCCAGAACAGCCCCGCCTATGATACAGCCCCGCCCCCAGGACGGCCCCACCTACGATACAACCCCGCCTCCAGGACGGCCCGCCTCCACCTCCGAAACAGCCGCGCCCCCAGGACGGCCCCGCCTACTACGCAACCCCGCCCCCAGAACAGCCCCGCCTATGATACAGCCCTGCCCCCAGGACGGCCCCGCCTACGATACAACCCCGCCTCCAGGACGGTCCCCTCCACCTCCGAAACAGCCTCGCCCCCAGGACGGCCCCGCATACTACACAACCCCGCCCCCAGAACAGCCCCGCCTATGATACAGCCCCGCCCCCAGGACGGCCCCGCCTACTACACAACCCCGCCCCCAGAACAGGCCCGCCTATGATACAGCCCAGGCTCCAGGACTGCCCTGCCTACGGTACAACCCCTGCCTCCAGGAAGGCCCCGCCTACGAGAAAACCCCGCCCCCAGAACAGCCCCGCCTATGATACAGCCCTGCCTCCAGGACGGCCCCGCCTACAATACAACCCCGCCCCCAGAACAGCCCCGCCTATGATACAGTCCAACCTCCAGGACGGCCGCGCCTACAATACAACCCCTCCTCCAGGACGGCCCCACTCCACCTCCGAGATAGCCCCGCCCCCAGGACGGCCCCGCCTACGATATAGCCCCGCCTCTGGCACTGCCGCGCTCCACCTCCGAAACAGCCCAGTCCTCAGGACAGCCCCGCCTCTGATACTGCCCCGCCTCTGGGAACACCCGTTCTGCCTGGCAGACAGCCCCGCCTCCAGGCCGGCTCGCCTCCGAGACCGCCCCGCCTCTGAGACCGCCCTGCCCCGCCTCTGAGGCAGTCACGTCTCCAGTGCAGCCCCGCAGGGACCGCCCCGCCCCTCCTGGGAGACAGCCCCGCCTCCAGAACGGCCCCGCCTCCTAGACCTCCTAGACCACATAGACCACCCCGCCTCTGGGACCGCCCCGCCCCGCCCCACCTCCGAGACCGCCCCGCCTCTGGCTCCGTTCCGCCCACCTTTGTGGCAGCCCCGCCTCCAGGACGGCCCCGCCTCCGACGCCACCCCGCCTCTGGGATCGTTCGGACCAGCCTGCTAGGTGGTCCCGCCTCCGGCACCTCTCCTCCTTACCTCCGAGAAGGACCCCGCGCGCCGCAGCAGAGCCAGTCCGACCATCCCCAGGGATCCGCACTGCCCAGGCGTGAGTGTTCCAATCCGAGCGGGTCTTGAGGTGGGGGCGGTGGCTGAGCACCTAGGGCGCTGGGGGTCCCCGCAAAGTACCAGAGGCCCCAAGCCATTCCCGGGTCAGCGGTGTCCTTCTCTTCTTAGGTCTAGGTCTTTGGTTTCATTTGGTTCTGTGAGTCCAGTGCTATTTGCAGTTTGTCTCAAAACACATTTCTCCCTCCTTTTTGAACTTGTAGATTACTAATTCGATAAAGATGTGACTGGTGTGTGGGCCCACGACGGCGTATTTCGTTGCAGAGTGCTGGATCAACTTTGCGGGACATATTACTCATCTGGGTTTTTTTAGTTTGTCTTTGTTTACCCCGTCGAACCGGTAAGGCCCGATAAGTGAAAGACTTCTGTCTTCTGGGAGGTAGCTAGCAGGATCTTGAGCTCAGGCTTCCGGATCTGTCTCCGCTGCTTTTTTTTCGCTGGTCCTTTGTGAGGCTGAAATCATGAACCGGCATGCTCGATGATCTGCGGAGTGTTGGCTCTCTTTTGTGAACTCACTTTCCCGCGGACAGTATTAAGAAAAAGCGGTGAGTAGGAAGGGAAGAGAGAGAGATTGAATTCTACAGGAAATACAGGGCATGCTCAGAATGTCAATCTTTCTGAGCTTGGAGTGATTTCATGGAAGAAAGTAGCAGGAAAGACGTCCAGTAATCACTGGCATGCCCAACTCTGGAGAAGCCAAGCTGAGGCGCTCAGCAAGTTTCACCTTAGTGAGAGTGGAAGAAACGTAAGGGCTCTTGTTAGAGTTCTTGTAGAGGAAGACTGTGGATGAGAATATATCCTGGGGACTAAAACCAGATTGGTTTAGTCTAGAATGAAGGGACTGATGTTTGAGAGAGATGGTGAGAGATTAACAGAATGGGGTGGCTAACAGCACAAGTGTAGAGGCCCCACAGGGTCGTGGGGTGTCCCTTATGCTGTGCTGAGGTGCAGGATCCGAAAAGTAAAGAGACAGGACACTGAAGAACTGGTGAAGAGTATCTGGACTCAGGAGCCCACGCCACCTGTGAGCCGAGATCGGTGAGCTCCTCGATGCCCAGAAGCATCTGTATTTATTAGGTACAATCAAGTGGCAGCGTCGTGAGTGAGGTCATCATCTATAGGCTTAGTAATAGGACCACCCCATTATGTCACCTGGGCAGAGAGGTGGGCCGTGTGCAGTGGGGGGCCATGCCATGCGCTGTAGTAGAGGGTCATGTACAAAAAAAGGGGTCCACCCCCATTAGGTCAATGAGGCAAGGAGGTGGGCTGTGTGCAACAGGTGTCCTGTGCAACACTTCTTATCTGGAGGCTGGAGACTTCAAAGGATTTCTATAGAAGGATACTGTAAGCTTAATGCAGTGGGACCTGGCAGATTTGTGCTCTTCTCTTAAAATATTTATGGGAGAATGACTTGAGCTAGCACAGAAGGGAGAAAAGACTGACAGGGTGTACAGCCGCTGTGTCTGGTCACACCAGAGGGGTTCTTCTCCCTCGGTTATTTCCAGGATCTCAGGCCTGAGGCCTACTTTCACAGGAACTGGATGCAAGGTACTACAACTCCTTTATCAGGAGGAGAGGCTCTTGCTCCAAGCCTGCCATACAGCGTATGCCCTTTCAGGCAGGGACGCCACCACCTGGGTCTTTGGTTCTTGTGCTGGTCTGGCTGTTTTCCCAGGTACTGCTTCTGTGCTGTGACTGCTCTAGGCATTCCTCCTGCCACAAACTACTATATGGTTACCTAGAAGGATTCTATAAATCAGCACTAAATGTGTCAGTACAGTTCCAACTACAATATCTATATGATTATATATAGAAAAATTATATGGGACTAAGTATGATTATATATATAAGCTAGATATACTAAGCAGTGAGTTATGCTTCAGGCACTAATTCTATAAACTAATATGTGATTATATAAAGAAACAGCTGAGTAATAACACTATAAACTAAGACATTCTTCAGGTACTAATTGTGCCTGGGGTCTGGACAGTTCCCCTTTCTCAGTGCCCCTGGGGGAATGTTACCACACACATGGACAGGAGGGAGAGAGGAAGGAGGCACGTGTGGCTCACGGGCTTGGTGTGTGTCTTAGTTTAGATTCTCCCCTAAAGAAAAGCCTTATGCAAGGGATTATCTACAGGTGATTTTTGCGGGGTCGGTAAGTGAGATGAAAAAGCCCAAATGAGGAAGTGGAGAGAATGAGACAAGGAAAAAAGGGAAAGTTGGGAGGGGCATGGGCTGAGGGTCTTCCACGTGGTGCTCCGTTCTTCCAGGGGCCTTCCGAGGACCTCTGTGAAGGGCACTTCGGGAAAGCCACGGGGCACTTTTCTATGACTCCCTGCTCTACTGGGTGAAGCTCACCCTGGTGTCAACTCACTGCCACTTTAGGGCTGCCCTGTGGAACTGCAGAGGTGAGAAGGCTCAGAGCACACAGGAAAGTCCCTTACACTGGGATCCTCAGAGATGGGCCGAGGGAGACAGCACAGGACAGCCAGGGGACTACTAGGTGACTGCAATCTGCTACTGCCCTCGGCACTCCGGGAAACTAGAAAGGGCAGCAAAGGGACAGACACTCGTTTAATCCGTGCTCACTGTGTGTGTACCAATCCCAGACAAGGCGTTTTTATTCATCATTGGTGTTGCTTTCTTCTTCTTTTTTTTCTTGAGGTAGAGTCTTGCTCTTTCACCCAGGCTGGAGTGCAGTGGCGTGATCTCATCTCACTGCAACCTCTGCCCCCCTAGGTTCAAGCAATTCTCCTAACTCAGCCTTCCAAGTAGCTGAGGTCACAGGAGCACACTACCAGATCCACCTATTTTTTTGTAGATTTATAGAGACAGAGTTTTGACATGTTGGCAAGGCGTGTCTCAGACTGCTGACCTCTGGTGTGATCCGCCCGCCTCAGCTTCCCAAAGTGCTGGGATTACACACATTAGCCACCACACCTGGACTATTCATATTCTTTTCATCTTCAAAAACAATCTTCCCAGAGATATATTATTCTCTTTTTGATGGGGAAACTGAGGCTGAAGTCATCTATCCGAGAGGAGCCGCTTAAAGGGAGAAATAAGCTCAGTTTTAGGCGCAGCAAATTTTAAAATTAGCATTCTCCGGAATGCTAATTTTAAAAGTAGCATTTTAAAATTTTAAAAATGCTAATTCTAAAAGTAGCATTCTCCGGAACCTGCAGAATGCTACTAAATAGAGGGGGTCCCTCTCCGTTACAGTGGACTTGATAAATTGGGTGGTGGGCACTTTCCAACTTACTGAAGCTGTCAGAACAATTGCAGTTTTTAACAGGTCTGCAAACTTTCTGTTCAAAAAAATCAAGCACTATGCCAACTCAGGCACACCAACATAACTATCACCTTAATCTAACAGCCCTGCAGTATCTGGCCCCACCCTCACTCCTCCTTAGGTCCTGCTCCTACCTGCCCTTTGCTCTCAGCCACTCCAAATCATTCCCTTTGTTGGAATGCTTTTTGCTCACTGCATTTCAGGTTTCAGTTTCAATGTCACTTTCTCAGAGGCCTTTCCTATCACGCAAAAACTAAAGGAGTCTTTCAGTTCCTCCATATCATGTCATCATGTTTTATTTTCATCATAGGGATTAATTTCTTGCATTCTATTTATCTGTTTATCTACTTATTTTTTCATTATCTTTCTCCTAAAATACTCGAATCACAAAAAGGGAAACCTCATCTCTTTTGTTTCTTGCTGAACTCCCAGTGCCAAAATAGTGTGTGGTCCACAGTGGGGAAGCCAATAAAATTTCAAGATGAATGAATTTAGTTGTTTTCTTCATCTGTTCTGACCAGCAGTGCTTATCAGCATCTCTTAACTACATGAAAGTCTTTGCTTCCCTTGCCGCAGCTGATAGAAACATGGCGACATCTGCTGCCTTTGAGGCCCTCATGGATGGAGTGACAAGCTGGGATCTCCCCAGGGACTCTGTCCCCAGCGAACTCCTTCTTATTGGAGAGGCCGCCTTCCCCGTGATGGTGAATGACAAGGGCCAGGTGCTCATTGCTGCCTCCTCCTACGGCCAAGGCCGCCTCGTGGTCGTGTCCCATGAGGGCTACCTGATGCATGCTGGCTTGACTCCATTTCTCCTCAATGCAGTGAGCTGGCTCTCTCCCTGCCCTGGGGCTCCCGTGGGAGTGCATCCATCCCTGACACCTCTAGGAAACATCCTGCAGGATGCTGGGCTTGAGGCACAGATCAAGCCAGAACCAGGAAAGCCCCTGGGTGTTTACTGCATTAGTGCCTACAATGATGCCATGACTGCGACGCTGATCGAGTTTGTGAAACATGGAGGGGGCTTGCTCATTGGGGGCCAGGCATGGTACTGGGCCAGCCAGCACGGCAGTGACAAGGTGCTGTCCAAATTCCCTGGGAACAAGGTGACAAGTGTGGCCGGAGTGTACTTCACCGACACCTACGGGGACAGGGACCGGTTCAAGGTCTCTAAGAAGGTGCCCAAGATCCCACTCCATGTTAGGTGAGTGTCTGTTCCCCGCTTAGGAAGTCTGACTCAGGTTAAACAATACAGTTGCTCCCCCTCCCTAACTCATTTTATGAGACCAACATTATCCTGATGCCAAAACCAAGTGGAGACTCAACTAAAAAAGAAAACTTCAGGCCAATATCCATGATGAACATTGATGCAAAAATCATCAATAAAATACTGACAAGCCAAATGCAACAGCACATCAAAAAGCTTATTCATCATGATCAAGTAGGCTTCATCTCAGGGATACAAGGCTGGTTCAACAAACACAAACCTATAAACATAATCTACCACATAAACAGGACCAAAGACAAAAATCACATTATTATCTCAATAGATGCAGAGAAGGCCTTCAACAAAATTCTGTAGCCATTTATGCTAAAAACTCTCAATAAACTAGGTATTGATGAAACATATCTCAAAATAATAAAAGCTATTTATGACAAACCTACAGCAAATATCATACGGAATGGGCAAAAACTGGAAGCATTCCCTTTGAAAACTGGCACTAGACAAGGATACCCTCTCTCGCCATTCCTATTCAATATAATACTAGAAGTTCTAGCCAGAGCAATCAGGCAAGAAAAAGAAATAAAGGGTATTAGGAAAAGAGGAAGTCAAATTGTCTCTATTTGCAGACGACATGATTGTGTATTTAGAAGACCCCCTTGTCTCAGCCCAAACTCTCCTTAAACTGATAAGCAACTTCAGTAAAGTCTCCAGATACAAAATCAATGTGCAGAAATCACAAGCACACCTCTAATGCCCGGATTGTGGTTCTAAATGCAAATTACAGTTCCTAGCAGAAATATGGGCTGTACATTAAAAGAAAAGAAGAAAGAAATAGGGATTTTTGGAGAAATGGCAGATCCTGGGCCTGAGCAGGAAATGTATGAGACGAAACTGAAACCTCCTATTATAACAAAAGCCAGGAAGCTCATTAAGGTTGGGTGGAAAAGATTCAGGAATCATCTTGAATTGGCTCACAATAGCCAAACATGACAATTTCAACATCAGTCAGGATGATAAATGAAACACATTGTGTTTTCAATCATGATTTCATAATAATTCTAAGAAAAACTTAAACACATTGGTGACCTCAGGAAGATGCTAGGAAACCAACTCAATATTGAAAACTGGGTTTAAAATGATAACGAGAGAATTCAACATTTATTTCGCCTTTCCTATATAAATTATGCCATAGTGTATGTAATTGGTGAATGGAAGTTTCTTCTATAAAACTATGACAAATAACAAATAAAATGAATACTAAAATTTTAAACTCATCATTTTATACACACAAATGAATGGGTCTAGGGCTAAGCAATGGTTATTAAGGACTGCCAACCTCACAGTAAGGGAGAAAGTCAGACCATTATATTCTACCCAATGGAAGTACATACTACCACCTATAAAGTAGGTCAAAAATTCAAACATGAATCTGATCACACCTCTAGATTATAAGTTGGGAAACTTTTCCTTAAAAGGCCAAATATTTTAGGTCTATGGGCCACATGGTCTCTGCTGAAACTACTCAACAATGGTGGATACTGGAGCTTGAAAGCAGCCACAGTTTGCGAAAGAATGGGCATGGCTGTGCTTCAACAAAACTTTATTTACAAAAACAGGGAGCTGGCCTTAGTTTGTCAATCCTGACCTAAATCAAAATCTAACTTTTAATTTGTATTATGCAGAAAATACAAGGAAAAGATGAATATGTTAAATCAGTGGTCCCTAACCTTTTGGTACCAGGGACCTGTTAGCAGCTGCTCATGTCAAAGTAAATACATAGCTGGGTATGCTGATGCACACATATTCACATACTCAGGCAGGAGGCTGTCTTGAGGCTGAGAGTTCAAGGCTGCAGTGTGCTGCCACTGTACCTGCAAGTAACCACTGTACTTCCACCTGGGCAACATAGTGAGACCCTGTCACTATTATTTTTAAGTAAAAATTGTAAATAATGTACTAGTAGCTTAGCTTTATGACTCTCTTAAGGAGGATTTATTATCTCTGTCCTCAATTCAGTCCTATAGAGTAGGAAAGTCTTTGTCCAAAGAGTTCCAGGTTATAAGCACCGCAGTTCTGTTTCCATATTCAAGATCCATGAATGTAGTTTCCAAGTTAAAAACTGTGAAATAAGGCTAGATCCCAGAATTGCTCTCTGAACCAAATCTGATAAAGTGAATGAAAAATAATTAATAAATGGATGGATGTAGAAGGTTTCGATCATAACATACATTGCTAACCACTCGCCAAGGAGAACAGGTAATTGACGGGTGGCTCAGGATGGAGCATCTCCTAACAGCAATCAACGTCTCGTGTACAATAGAAAGAAAATAGTCAAAATCACAAATTCAAGAGTTATCATTAATGCTTTCTAATTCATAGAAAAGTGAACAAATTGGTTGGGTAGACACTTAAGAAAAAAAACTTTCAAAAGTAAAAGCAGGAGAGCTACTTGAGGATATGGTGGAAGCAGGAAAGGATACCAGAGTTTTCCATCTTCTAAGCAGGGTAGTGAGCTGAACTCCCCACATGAGCTTTGTCTGTGGTTGGGTGAAGAGGGCCTAGCTTACTAGCTCCCCTAAGAGTGGACAAACAAGGCCTAATCAAAAAAAATCCCAAATCTAAAATGCTCCAAAATCCAAAACTTTTTGAGTGCTACCAACATAACACCAGAATAGGAAAATCCCACACCTGACACCTTTGCTTTCTGATGGTTCAATGTATACGAATTTGTTTCATATATAAACTTATTTAAAATATTGTAAAAAATTGCCTTTAGGCTATGTGTAAAGGTGTATAGCAAACATAATTGAATTTTGTGTTTAGGGTTGGGTCCCATCACCAAGGTATCTCATTATGCATTTACAAATATTTCAAAATCTGAAAAATATCAAAATCTGAAACACTTCTGGTCATCCCAGGCATTTTGCATAAGGGCTGCTCAACCTGTATTATCTCCTTCAATTCTCACAATAATCTTCAGAGATTGGAAATATAGCTAATAAAACCAGGAGAAAGAGTAAACATTATGACATTGTTAGAAATATTTGTATTTTTAAGCAGAATTTTGATCTGACCTAGAAATATGAATATATCTGTGCTCACAGGTGGGTAGCTATTACTTTCTGACTATTCCAGATGAGTAATTTATGTACCTGCAATTTTTTTAAAAAGTGAGTTTTCTAAATTATTTTCTTAAATTTGACAGGTTAAAATAGGTTAAATAATATTGTGTTTCTAATAGGCATGATTGAGACCTAAAGAGATTTTACCCTGTATCTACTAGCTTAAAATAAAAGAGAAAAATACATTTGCAATTTCAAGGCACCTCTCTGATCATCTATGCCCATATTGTTCAATGATGTTGAAGACCATTTTTAAAGTTTTGTTATTTACTACAGTTTATCTGTATTAAATTAATTAAAAATACAAAAAAAAAAGATGTTGGGGGCAGAAGGTCTTCAAAAGGTTTTTTAAAGCATCTGATCAACATAGCTCTCTCTAGCCCTTTTTTTGATGTTATAGATCCTAAAGAAACATTGTTTCTAGATTCTAGTATTTCTATTCTGTTTATATTTATCAGAGAGTGAATTAAATCCAGAAGAGTATTCTTACATCCCATACAATCTGAACAGAAAAACAAAACAAGCCAAGTGAAGATATATTTGATTATGACCAGTAGACTTCATTATCTTTATGTTCAAGAAAAAAATGTATAAATTGTTATATGTTTTATTTTTAATATAATGAAAATGATAGCAGGGCACTTCACAATTAGTCAGTGCTGTAACTTCCTAATTTGGCTGCTTTTTTATCAGCATTCAGAAACCTATCACCCATGTTACCTGCCTGCTCAGGTGTGGTTTGGTATAATGCATTTTCTAAACTTGCAATCCCTTCCCTTTCCTTTCTTCCTCAGTGGCTTCCCCTGCACTTCCATTTCTGAAGTAACACATGCTTTTCCTTTCTTAAACACAGAATTATTTGTACCTTCTCTTCCTGTAAATCTTCCTTTGCATAAGGTATACTGTTGAGAAACATTAAGTTTGCCCTGCCCCCGTGGCTCCCTTGTGGAGAATACCTTTTAGTTTGTAATTAGTGGTAGGTGGGTAACGCTGCCTAATTGGTATATTTTTGAGTTATGAGTAAATATAGAAAACCTGTGTATTACTAAGAATAACCTGTCTAAGAGCAAATAAATATATGGATGAAAATCTGCCTGGGGCCTCAGCCTGGAACACTGTTAATCTCTTAGCTCTCAGGCTGTTATCCCCCAGACAGATCCACTCTGTTGTTCTATCTGGGTGTCTGCCTCTCAATACCTTTAGTGCCGCCTGGGTGGGGGGTCTCCAACCAAGCTGGTCCTCAGTAGTATACTTGTCAATAACCTTGTACCCAGATGTAGGTTTTATCAAAGACTCGGTAATTGATTGGGAGAGTTCTGATATGTAGACAACAGTGGTTTTAGAGGCAAGCCAGCCTGGGTTTTGTAAGAATTAAAGAAAGAGGTAAGAAACACAAAAGATGGTTTGACAGTCAAGGACAGGTTTAATTTAGAGAAAACCAACCTGAGAGGAGCTTCTGGCCGAGTTAGGTGAGAGGCACATTCCCTTACAGACTGAGGGTTTTTAAGGATTCAGGGTGGGAGAGTCTATGAGAGGTTTCTACTGCTTCTGTGTCTCTTTGTTATGCTTATCTGGAAGGGAGAGCCGTATGGGAATGTGTGTCTATTCCCATACATCTTTCTGTTGCTGCATACCCCTCACCCCTGCTTTTAGCTTCCTTATCATAGTGCACCTGAAGGAAAAGGAATGTGCTTGTTAAGGCCCACTGTTTTACTGGGGCCCATTGTATGAGGGTACAGTTTGGCAGTTACCCAAGAGACTTCTTTGCCCCCACCTCCTTCTGTGCCTGAGCTGTCTTATTTGTGTTTCACTGTCTGCTCTTTCTGCCTGCTTGTAGTTAGAAGAAAAGTGATTTCCTTGAAATGCATGAGGCTAGAAAGGGAGATGGAACTTAAAGTAGCGGTGTTTGTCCAAGATGACGGTGCTCCTGCTCTGTCACATTTGCTTCCTGTCCCTGCCGTTATTAGCTAAGAAACGTGGAAAATTGCCTAGTTTTTCCAAAGTTAATCTTTAAAATGAGAATAATAACTTGCCAGTTTATTATTACGATTAAAAGAGATAATACATATGTTAAATGCCTAGCATATATGAAACCTCATTAAATAGCGGCTACTTTTATTGTTTTCCACACTTAAAATAGTAAACATATATTATACAAGATTTAAATATGTTGGTAACTAGTTATCTGAGATTATTAATATTGCCCTTAGGATATTGTCAAACCATCTGTTGAAGTTTATCTGATATCCGAACTGCTATGCTTACTCACTTTCCCCTCCCTCCCTCCTCATTTCCCATATCCTTTCCCCCTCCCTCCCTCCATTCCCTGTTCCTTCCTTCTTTCCTCCTTTCCTTTCTTTATTTTTCTTTTAAGAAATGCCTTTTTAATGAAAATATTTCAAAAGAAAATCAAGTTTTTTGTGAAAAATGCAAACCAATACAGAAATATAGAGAGGAAGATGGAAACTCATTCTCCTCCCCACACTACCAGTACTATTCTCATACCTCTGGACCAAGGTAGCCAATCCTAAAACTTTGATATGGATCATCTCAGATGCTTATCTGTGTCTGTGTGTGTGTGTGTGTGTGTGTGTGTGTGTGTGTTCTTCACGTTGATTTTTTAATGTTTCATGTTGGAGATTGTCTGCCTTTTTACTTTGTATTTATTCAACAACTTAGCAGAGCACGACCTTCTAGGGTCTCATTTTCTTGTCCTCAGGATGCAGGAAAATTATCTTCTGGCTGTAAGCAAGTTTGTAAGTAATTCTGATGAAATTATCTCTATCCTTTTTTTTTTCTTTTTAATGTAATTCATCCAACAGATGCTGAGAATACATTACCATCTCCAAGTATAATGATCAATTCAAATTTTATTTTCTTTGTAGCAGTTCTTGCTTTCAATATTGTGTTTTGCAGGACAAAAAATTAATATAAATTTTATTTTTGGTAGAGTATAACTTTTATCCATAGAAAATGTTTATTTTTAATTTTTTCCCCTTTGAAATCACTTGCATCCCTTATTAATGCTGGCATGTCTGCTTTTTTTGTTTCTGTATTGTTTGAAAGAAAACTTTGTAGATTTTGTCATTTTCTTTTCTTTTTTTTTTTTTTTTGAGACGGAGTTTCGCTCTTGTTACGCAGGCTGGAGTGCAATGGCACGATCTCGGCTCACCGCAACCTCCGCCTCCTGGGCTCAGGCAATTCTCCTGCCTCAGCCTCCTGAGTAGCTGGGATTACAGGCACGTGCCACCATGCCCAGCTAATTTTTTTGTATTTTTAGTAGAGACGGGGTTTCACCATGTTGACCAGGATGGTCTCGATCTCTCGACCTTGTGATCCACCCGCCTCGGCCTCCCAAAGTGCTGGGATTACAGGCTTGAGCCACCGCGCCTGGCTGATTTTGTCATTTTCAATCCATTTATGTCATTTAGTTTCAAGTTTGCTTTTATAAGCAGCTTATATTCAGATGTTTTTAAGCTAATCTAAGAGCTTCTGTCAAATTGAAATTTAATACACTCATATATACTGTGACGATTCAAATGTACATCTTGCTCTTACCCCCTTTTAATTTTATTTTCTATTTTTATGCTTCATTTCTTTTTATATTTTTTCTTGCTTGTTACTAAGTTTTATCTATTTCTTAAATTCCCTCAACAAATTTGTAGGTTATACATTTTCCTTCTATTTTTGGAGCAGTTATCTTAACATTTTACATTTAATGTTTAATTACCTGAGAAATGTAATTGTATATTTTCCTTATTTGAAAAAACAAATTATTGAGGCAAAAGTCCTTTTGATCATCTCTTTCAATGTCACTCCTTTCTCTCTATCCCACAATCTGAAAGAAAACACTTTTATCAGTTTCTTCTGGTCACTTCCTGACATTTTGGACATATATTGACATATGTTTACTTTGCTTTATATTGTGTCTTACATAGGCTGCATCACCAAGTTCTGCTATTTTTGAAATTGTTTTACTCAAATGTTTTGAATATCTATCCTTGTTAATTAATATAGGTGTATGTATTCTTTTTGAATGGCAAATAGTAATCCATCATATGATTAAATGCCAAATTTTATTTGCATTCATATTAATGAATATTTAACTTCCTTGTACTTTTTCACTATTACCAGCAATTTGCAATGAACTACTTAGTACTGCCTCCATGTATACTTCTGTTTTTAATGTTATTGGATACTGCCAAATTGATCTCCAGATTTTATGAAAGACTATTTTTCTTCACACTCTTGTCAGCACTTAATATTGTTAGCTTTTGAAATATTTACTAATTTTCTGGGTAAAAAATTTTATTAAATTAAATTGCATTTATGTGATTATATCATTGGAAACATTGAATATCTCACTTGGATTTCATCTTTCATGAGCTGTTTGAGCATATACTTTAAAAATATTTTCTGTTTTTTGCTTTTCTGTTTATCCTTAGAAATTACTCATATATTCTGGATTCTAATTTTTATCTGTTCAATCTGTTGCAAATATCTTTCTCTCCTATGAGCTCCCTTTTTTAACTTTATGCTGCTTTTGTGCTAAGAAGTTGTTGGGTTTTTTTCTTTAATTCTATGTGGTTCTTGCAGCTTTAGTCAAACAGTCTAGGTACTTCCTAGATTCCCAATGCTACTGTGGTTGTGTACCTGTGTGTGGGCACATGGATAAATGTATACAATCATTTTAATTAGCTGTGGAGAGGCTATCTGCAGATAACTGCAGCTTTCCATATTGAAGGCTTACTTCCAATAGCTAAGACTTTGCCAGGTGCCTGTGAGAAGATGCTAAGAATGCCTAGAGTGGAATGTTTTATTATTAAGTCTTGTAGCTCAATGTCATTAACTCCCTGAAATATCTTGAGTTCAAACAGGTAAAAAGCCACAGACAGAGCTGATACCTGAACTCTATGACATTTGCCCTGTGAGTTTGAAAATGGGATGACAAAACTAAGACATGCCATCTCCTAATTTTCATGCTGAAAAGAAATTCAAGAGAATCTGCACAAGAGTTACCTTTTTCAATAATGTTTTACTACCAGACTAAACTATACTTTTTAAAAATATTTAGTTTCTAATTATAAAAGAAATAAATGTTAATTTTAAAATTTGAGACAATAAAGCTTTATATACATAATTAAAATGACCTACAATCCCACCAGCCAAGATGACCATTGAAGACTTTTTTTTTTAACAAAGATATTTTGATAAATATGTTTAGGTTTAGCTTCTATGTCTAATTTTGTGGTTTTTGATTTTTCCCAAAATGTGGCTTATTTAGAGCATGGTATCTTGTAATCTAATCTAAAATTTTTTTCCCATTAAGCATTTTTCAAATTACCTAATAATTATTTTGATCACTATATGGTTTGTAATCTCTTGTTAACTATGTTGTACTTAACCAACCTCCTGTTGCTTGACATTTACAGTATCTACAAATTGTTTTAAAAATTCTTGAAATACAAAGCCTTTTCTAGATTCATTACATTTTGACATTCCTTAATAAAAAGAAGTCAACACTCTAACCAGATTTGAATGAACTTTTAAAAACGATGAGTGTTTGTATAAATCTTCAAGTATAGTGTTAAACAATTTACTTGTGATGTGTTCCTAGATCAGAAGTACCCTATAGAGAGTACAAATCTGATTATTTTACAGCCTTCCTTTACAGAAAATTAGCTCAAGAAATTAACAAGCAGTATGACTTTCTCTGGGCTTGATAAACTAATTTTTCTAATGTAATTTGTTTATATGATTAAATATTTTAAAAGATAAGAAACTGAAGCCAGAATATTCAATACTTAGTTGACTAAATGGGAAGAATTTCTGGAGTTGCTCATTTAGAAAATGTGGATTTTAAGATATGCAAGTAAGGGCAATCACTACCTCTATAGCATTTCCTCAAATCTATGACAACATTGATTGTGAGAAATACTGTTATTTTATGTATCACTAAGCAAGAGCAAACACTACCAATTAAATAATAATACGCCATCAGTTGTGAGAAAATATGCCTTAAACATGATAAAAATAAATGATATTAACATGCTAAAATTCTAATATTAGTAAGAACGGGAAGGTTGACATGAACCATGCAATTTTCCTATCTGCACATAGATTTCTCTATTCAGCGAGTACAATTCAGTGGCTCATCAACTGACTGTAGCCTTATTGTTTCTCCTATCTCTTCCAGGTGTGGAGAGGATGTCAGGCAGGACCAGCAGCAGCTCCTGGAGGGGATCTCAGAGCTGGACATCAGGACAGGAGGAGTCCCCTCGGAGCTGCTGGTGCATGGAGCCCTGGCCTTCCCTCTGGGGCTGGATGCCTCACTCAACTGCTTCCTGGCGGCTGCTCGCTATGGCCGAGGTCGGGTGGTCTTGGCTGCCCACGAGTGCCTGCTCTGTGCTCCCAAGATGGGGCCCTTCTTGCTCAATGCTGTGCGCTGGCTGGCCGGAGGCCAGACAGGCAAAGTTGGGGTGAACACAAGTCTAAAAGATCTGTGTCCCCTCCTATCAGAGCATGGCCTGGAATGCAGCCTGGAGCCACATCTGAATGTCAACTTGGGTGTCTACTGCTGTAAGGCATACAGTGACAAGGAGGCTAAGCAGCTGCAGGAGTTTGTGGCTGAGGGTGGGGGGCTGCTGATTGGAGGCCAGTCCTGGTGGTGGGCCTCCCAGAACCCCGGCCACTCCCCCTTGGCTGGCTTCCCTGGTAACATCATCCTCAACTGCTTTGGCCTCAGCATCCTGCCTCAGACTCTCAGCGTAGGCTGCTTCCCTGTTCCCACCCCAGAGATGAGAAGCTACCACTTCCGCAAGGCACTGTCTGAGTTCCAGGCTATATTGAACCACGGAAATGGGAACTTGGAAAAGAGCTGTCTGGCAAAGTTGAGAGTTGATGGTGCAGCCTTCCTACAGATTCCTGCGGATGGGGTCCCTGCTTACATATCCCTGCACAGGCTCCTGAGGAAGGTGGTAAGAGGGTCGGCACTTCCAGCTGTGAGCCGGGAAAATCCAGTTGCCAGTGACTCCATTGAGGCTGCGATGCTCTCTCTGGCCACTGGGCTGGCTCACTCTCTAACTGACAGCTCCCAGCTGGCCAAGTGGCTTGGCACCAGGACCTGCTCCTCCAATTTGAACCCCTCAAAACACCCCATCACCGTGGAGATTGAAGGAAACAACCCAGGTATGAAAAGAGAACAATGTGCCTAGAACAGGAAAGAGCCAGGGGAAAATGGGATTGGCTGACACTACACAGGACATTGCAGGTACTTACTGTCAGACCCTTAGGAAAATTGACTCCATTCTTTTTTCTTTCTTTTCTTTTCTTTTTTTTTTTTTTTTGACAGATTTTCACTCTGTCGCCCAGGCTGGAGTGCAGTGACTCAATCTTAGCTCACTGCAACTTCCACCTCCTGGGTTCAAGCAATTCTCCTGCCTCAGTCTCCTGAGTAGCTGCAACTACAGGTGTGCACCACCATGCCTGGCTAATTTTGGTATTTTTAGTAGAGATAGGGTTTCACCGTATTGGTCAGGTTGGTCTCAAACCCTTGACCTCAGGTGATCCATCTGCCTCGGCCTCCCAAAGTGCTGGGATTACAGGCATGAGCCACTGCACCCGGCTGACTCCATTTTTTATCAGGTACTTTCAAGAAAATAGAGGCTGGAGCTCTGTTTAAGGTTTAGGAGAGATGAATCCAAGAAGTATGGATGACTTAAGATACACAGGGGAGAAGCTGCAGCTATGGGAGGGACTGGGAGGCCCCAAGTGGAGATGAAGTCACATAGGAAGAACTTTCTCTGTGATTTTTGTCAGGCAACGATGATTGCTGGGTGAGTACTGGGCTCTATCTCCTGGAAGGACAAAATGCAGAATTCTCACTGTCTGAAGCTGCTGCCTCTGCTGGCCTGAAGGTAAGTTAAACACCTACAGCTGCCACCTCTCAACACCCTAGAGCTGTGTCATTCTCACTCACTGTTCAGTTCCAGTTCATGGGAATCCAGCCGAGAGCACAGGGATGGATTATTCTGCCCATTTTATAGATTTTACAGTTGAATTTCAGGGCACCTAAGTGAGAGACTAAAGTGCCTAGTATTATCAAGTAAAAGGAGCTCACTGTAGAATGTGCTAGAAGCCAAGACTATGACACTTGAGGTTTTGACCAAAAAAAATAAAAGCATTTGATTGCAAGTTGACTAACAAGGAGACAGGACAGGAGTCCAGCTCAAATCTGTCTCATTGTGCCTCCTTTAAAGAGTTCCTTTATTAGAGAAGGTTTAGGGAGTGGGTTCTGTGATCAGGTAATTGGTAGAAGGAAAAGAAAGGGCTGGAAAGTCCTGGGGCATGTGCACTTCCCTCTTCATGCCTCCTCATGGGTCCCATGTGCAAATTCAGGGGGAGTTAGTATGAAACGTGCAGTGGAAATTTGGGCTGTGACGTTGGCAAGCACATTCTGCACAAACTCTTATTTTATCTCTTTATCTTGACATCTGAAGTGTGTCCATAATCCCATCACTCCCCAAAATGTGCCCTAAATGCGGAATTTAAATTCATCCTGCCTCCTTGACTCTGAGGCTCACCTTCTACCACAGCTAGGGTCTCTTGTATCACCATTCCTTCTGGAGCTTGCTTACATCAAACCTAAGAAAAGCAACTCCAGGATTCTAGAAAAAACAGATCTTCATCCATCTGGCCAGGAAGGGAAGCTCTGGGAAGAGAGGGAGAGAGAATCAACCTCACTGCCTCTGGACAGGCCTCCTGTGTATTCACAGAGGACAGAGCAGAGTCCCCGCACTCATTCCCAACCTCAGAGTCACCACACTGGTGTAGGTCCTGTGGGAAAAGCCCAGGATTCTGCTTGGCAAAGACACAAGGCCTTTGTCAGGATCAGCCTGGTCTCCCACCAATTCATGTCAGGTGAAGATTTACAGTGGAGCTGTTTAAATCCTTGGAAAAATGATTTTACATGCTTTGAAGTCCAAATGACTTTAGAGTGCTAAAATTTCCTGTTTACACGCCTGGCACATAGAAAAGGGAAGCTGGGTTTTCATGGGCATGTTTGTCTAATGCCTTCCATCTACACCACCTCACACACATCAAAGGACTCTAATTCCTCCAACACTTGGTGGAATCACCTGTCCAGGTACAGATTGGCTGCCACACCGATGACCTGACCAAGGCCAGGAAGCTGTGTCGAGCCCCCGTGGTGACTCACCAGTGCTGTATGGACGGGACCAAACGGTCAGTCTCCTGCCTCTGGGGTGGCCTCCTCTACATCATCGTGCCCGAAGGCAGACAACTAGGCCCTGTGTCTGTCACTATCACGGGGGCTGTGCATGCCCCATACTACAAGCTGGGTAAGTGGACTGAACATTTAGTGGGGGAACTGTGGGGTGGTTGCTAAATGGGAGAGGGATGAGGTTTGGCAGAGAGAAGGAGCAAGAACTGTTGGCGGAGAACATGGAGGCAGGAGATACGGCATTCCCTGTGTCCATGGAGACTTCAGGGCAGACAGAGAGAAGAGTCTGGAAGTCCTTTCCATTACAGGAAGAACATTATTGCCGCATTCTTCCAGAGTTCTTGTATTTTTAAGCTCAAGGTATGTTGCAAAGTGGGTGTGGTAGGTTCCATGCTATTTATTTCCAGGTAAGACATCACTAGAGGAGTGGAGGAGACAGATGCACGAGAACCTGGCTCCCTGGGGAGAGCTGGCCACGGACAACATCATCCTGACAGTGCCGACCACAAGTCTCCAGGCCTTGGAAAACCCTGAGCCTGTGCTCCGCCTCTGGGAGGAGATGATGCAGGCTGTGGCCAGGCTGGCAGCTCAGCCCTTCCCTTTCCGCCGACCCGAGAGGATTGTGGCTGATGTGCAGATCTCAGCTGGTGGGTGCTCCCAGGGATCCTCCTAGTCAGTGGGCACCATTTATCTATTACTTTGGCTTTTATGAATGTTCAAGATGCATAAGCATAATTTTATTAGTAAAGCAAGGGAAAAGGTTATAAAAGACATTGACCATGATGGGGATGAAAGAATGTTTACATGTAAAAAGGCAAACTGTTGACATCTACAAGGTGAGATTACACCGGATGGTTGAACAATCTCAGAAAAAGTTATATTGGGAATTCACAGATGGCAACCAGGGTCACTTCAAGGAGAGCATCCAAAATGAACTATTTTCTTCAAACATAAGCCAGAGTTGAAAATGAAAAGAGGAAATTCGGACGGAGGTGTATGTTAGGTACTTAGTGCTTAAAAATAAACAGACGCATAGGAAGCAAAATAAGGAACTCTGGATCCCACATGGGGAAGTTCCTTTGTATCTTCAAATAAGGACAAAAGTTATCTCTGTCATTGAGTGTAAACCTGGAAAAAAGTTGCATACATGGGAAAGAAAGAACGACACTGTTCCAGCCCTCAAGGATGTCAAATCCAGACAGAGGACATCATATCACAGACTGAGATGCCAAGGACACTCACACACACAAAGTGAAGATGTAAAATTCCAGCAAGAATGACTATGTAAAGTATAACCAATTTCTCCAGGGCCAGAGTGAGGAGGAGGGCACAACTCAGGTGTGAGAGGCTAAGAAGGGGATTAGGTACTATTCAGTTTCTGACCAAGTCAGGGAAAGTTGTCTGCTTTCCAATCAGCATAGAGATTCTGCAGTTATTGGGGATAACCATGATGGCGAAGAAAAGTCCCATATGGAAACGAATGAAGGAGATAGTTGGGGTGGACCCTCCTTAATGCTCATCTCTTCCTTCTGTGTTCACAGGCTGGATGCATTCAGGATACCCCATCATGTGCCTCCTAGAGTCTGTGCAGGAGCTCATCAATGAGACGAGCATGAGAAGTCGGGGTCTGTGGGGCCCCATCCATGAGCTTGGCCACAACCAACAGCGGGATGGATGGGAGTTCCGCCCACACACTACCGAGGCCACCTGCAACCTTTGGTCAGTCTATGTGCATGAAACAGTCCTAGGGATCCCCAGGGCTAAGGCCCATGAGGCTCTGAGCCCTCCAGAACGAGAGAGGAGGATCAAGGACCACCTGGGAAAGGGAGCCCCGCTGTGTGACTGGAATGTGTGGACAGCCCTGGAAACATATCTACAGGTACTGTGCAGAAATTCCATGGGGAGGGGATGACCAGACTCCTCTGTCATGTAGTGACCTGGATCCCAGGAGCTCTCCAGCTCCTTCACTACTCAGCAGCCTGGACCACCACCTGCTCTGGAAATGAAAGGGACTGGGCCTCATGGTGGTGCTCCTCGGGTTATGCCCCCCTACAGCAGAAAGAATGGCAGCTGTCTCACTCACCTTCTGATTCTGTGATGTAAGAGGAAATGAAAAGTACTATGAAAATAGAAATAGAGATATAGCATATTAATCAAGGGCAGAAATTTTGTGAGACATTTCTGAAGCTGAATCACCGTTCTTCCACTCACTGGTTTCGTACTTGGTCTCCTAATAAGTGTTCCATAAAAGGTCATTGTTTTGTTTAATGTGTTTCACCTAAAGTTTATGGGTCAAATGAGTGTTACACTTTAAAAAAAATAATAACAGGGTGTCTACATTGCAGCTGCATTACAATAAGAAGGCATCGTCAGAGATAAATCTGCTAGCAAGGGTCTCAGCCTCCATCACCCCACTTGAAACCAAAATGATTTAAAATGAATAACCAATCAAGCCAATAGGAGAGCACTGAAGTCATAAAGCAATTGTGAAATAAACACAAATCCCTGCCCCCTCCCCTAGTCCTGCATTGAATGTCCGGGTTTCTGAATTGTCAGTGCTGTTCCCCTGTCAGGTCTCCTGCAATGTCTCCCACAGCCCTATATATAGGAGCTGTCTGGCTCATTTTCACAGAGCCACACACTAAGTCAAAGAGGTTCAGCAACTTGTCAAGAGGCACCCATTTAAGTGAAGGACCTAGAACTTAAAATCAGGACATAATGATAAGCCCCAGGCTTTCACATTGCCATACCTGCTCTTCGATTTTTTTGCCTTTCGCTGATTTTCTGAAAGTGAACATCAGACAGCCCAGTCAATGAGGGAACTTTATGTTGTATCCACTTCCATACCCTTCCATAGCCAGTCTGGGGTATGCAGGAACATGGACCAGTACGGTAGGTTGCCCCTAAAGTGTAAGTTTAAGCCCTAATTCTACCCTGCTCGGCTACACTGTGGCGCCCCGAATATCAGTTCTCAAAAGCTCTAGAGAGACCGCAACTGAGACTCGGCCACAGGACAAACAGGCACCTTGTGACCCCATTTCCTGCTAGAGGGCTTCTCCCCGGCATCTCTGCACCTGCTGCCTGAGCTCAGGCCCTTGTTAGTTTTCCCTCAGTCTACTCCAGTAGCTTTGTACATTGTCCCAGCATCTTGCCTCAGTCTGCTATGATCCATCTTCCTTATACTCCTTCCAAAATAATACTATGCCTATAAAGTGCTTACAGGGTTACCTAGCACATATGGGGTACAGTTGAAGCTGATTAGCAAGGCATAGGAGGCCCTTCCTGACCAGACATGCCAGCATCTCTAGCTATATCTTCTATTGCTCTCACCTCCGTATTTACCCTCTGCCATGCCAACCTGCTTATGGTTACAGAAACATCTTGCTGTTTTGGCTCCTGTGCCTTCCCTTGTTTTCTTCCTGCTGCTGAATCATCTTGTCCATTACCTGTCAAGTGACCTGTCCAAATTCAGCTCTGTTGTCCCTTTCTCCTGGACATCGTCTCCTTGATAAGCCAACATTTTTTAGCAATGTGTTTATTTACATGTGTCTCTCCCTTTGGCCAGTGTTCTCTAGAGGGACAAGAGCTCTAAGTCATGTTTGCCTAGCACAATAGCTGTCATGTTGTAGATGTCTAACAAATGTTATATGTTTAATAAATGTTGAATTTTCTGGTATATGAAAAGTGTCAAAGAGCAAGCCAGTGAGGAGAGGGGCAATAATGAGGGTACAACAGCGAGACTCTGAGGGAGGCTCAGCTTCTGTGGGTCATCTGTCCTCACCAGAGTCAGAGAACGTTCATCTATTAAAGGGAGAGTGGGGACGTGAAACCCCAGAACGTTGCTCACTGGAAATTTGCATAATCTTAGTGAACAAGGGCTTTCGGCCAAGGGCTTTCTGGAGAGCTGTCCCCTATGAAGCATGAGCCACTCTCATTTTCAGCCCCTTAAGACATGCCGGATCTTTTCTTTTTCTGCCCTAAATGCAGTGTTCTACAGAGCAATATTGTACCTCGCAGATAGTCACAGGTCCAAGATGGCTATAAAATCTGTATTATGATATCTGGAAATTATAGTATTGGAGGTTCCCAGCTTTTAGAATCTCAACAGGCCAAATACGTAGGAAGTGAAGGTTTCTCATCTCAGTCAAGCCCAAACCTGTCCCGATGCTGAGGAAAACACTTAAGATCTGGGAACACAATTTTTTAAATTAAAAATAATTACAGTGGTCATTTGTTGAGTACTTAACCACTATTCAGACATTAGGTTTCCCCTGAGCACCCCCACTACATGCAGGGGGTGCTGTTTTGTGGCCAGGGTGGAATGAGCCAATGAGATTGCATTAATGTGCAGGGGTAGAGTGGAGAGATAGGGGCACATATCAAGGGTGAAGTTAACCATTGAGGGGAGGTGATCATGTGAATGAAATATACTTATAAACACACATGTTGCATCATTTTTGCAAACTTGACTTCTCATTCTGTTCTTCTTTCTCCTTGCAGCTCCAGGAGGCCTTTGGGTGGGAGCCATTCACCCAGCTCTTTGCTGAGTACCAGACCCTCTCTCACCTCCCCAAAGACAACACGGGCAGGATGAATCTATGGGTGAAGAAGTTCTCTGAAAGAGTGAAGAAGAATCTGGTTCCCTTCTTTGAGGCCTGGGGTTGGCCTGTCCAGAAGGAGGTGGCTGACAGCTTGGCCTCCCTACCAGAGTGGCAGGAAAACCCCATGCAAGTGTACCTCTGTGCCAAGAAGTAAAGCATGCCCCACAATGCAGGAGAGAAGAGGCAAGATCACACCGCCAACTCCACCACCGGGGTTTTGGCCACATGTGCTCAGTACCTGGAGCCTGAATCCTGCTTACCAGCCTGAGCTCTAGGTGGTAGCCAAGGTCATAAGAATAAATGAAACCCCTTTCTGGAAAAGGTGCTCTTGTGCTCCTTTTTATTGTTTTTCTATTTACGCTGTTGCTTTCCTCAAGAGACTCACTTTGCCTCTTAGTCTCCCAGAAAGGGTCTTTCATCCTGCCTTCCTGAGGGTTCTATTTTTGACCGATAGCTCTAAAGACCATGGGTTCCTATAACAACCATATCCCTTTCTCTTCTTTGCCATCCCTGAACAAAGTTTCTAACTTGTTATGCTTTAAGAAGTTTTCTAATAGCAAGTAAGACATGCTGGAATCGTGAAGAGAGCCCTAAACCAGCTTTAGTTTTATGGAAAATCACTTCACCTCTCTGTGTTTCTGTCTTCACATCCATGACATCGGTATACGAATCTTTTCCTCACAAAGCTGTGGTTTGATAATGGTGAACATGTTTGCACACCACAGCATGCATAGACATTACATGTCTATAGGGTATTCCTTAGATTTGTCCTGGTCCCATAGTGGATGGTTATGGTGTCGAGTCTAGCATGCACATCCTGGGCACTGAATCCCACTTCAGTGTTCACCCCCTTGATGTCCGCATTCAGTCCTTGTATATTTAGAGAATACCAATGTTTTCCCAGACATGGTCTCAATAAGGGTAGTTGTCAACAGTATCCTAGCCCTTTCTACATGTTTTTTCCCACTGCTGGAAAGATTCTTGGGTATAACCTAACCTCCCCCAAAAAAGGCTCAAACTGAGGGTCACAGAGCTGGGGGGTTGGACCTTTGGGGGCAGCTCCATCTTCCAGTACTTTTGTTTCAACCAAAGGGCAAAGTCATGTTAACAACTGCTATTAAGTCTATATACCTATTCAATCTTACCACAAAACAGGCAACTGACTCCTCTGGTCACCATGGAGTCAAGGCACTGGCAGTAGGGGGCACGGAGGTCCACAGGCACAGTGGGCTTCTCTCTGGAACAGGATGACTGGGTGCAGCAGACCCAGTCATACTTAATCGACTCACAACCCAGCATCCCCTGAGCTCTCTCTTAATCTTCTAGCCCATCCTGACTCTTTGGTTAGGGGAAGTTCTCACTGGAGATTTGTCTCTGGGATTAATGGGAGTATGCCTAGATATTTTCTCCAGTTTACTTTTAGACCACATTATTGTTTGTTTTAAATATCATTCATTAAGCTTTGTTGAGAGTAGAGTGGCTTCCCATGAGGACAACTAACTTACAGCATGTCTTTTGCTGAATACCATCAGCATATCCTTCCCAATTCTAGATAATTTCCTTTTATTTCTCTAGTAGCCTTTGCCAGGGGCTTTGCACATGAAAGTGTTCGTGAAATATTTGTCAAATGAAAGAACAGTAATGACACCTAACACATAATGTGTGGTCAGTATGTTGCAGGCATTGTGTGAGGTATTTACTGTGAATTATCTCATGTAATCTTCCCAGCAGTCCTCTGAGGTAGGTACTAGTATTATTCCCATTTCATAGATGAGAAAACTGACACTAAGGGATATAAAACAACTTTTATGAAGGCACGAAAGTGAATAAGAGAAACAAGCCAGGGCTTAATTGAAGCCCATAACCATGAAAACATTGTGTAACTTACTCTTCATGAATGGTTTATGATTTAAACAAAATGTCACCTAGAAAATAGATGAAAATATGTTCAACAAAGTCTGGATTTTTCTGATGTTTATTACTGAATTTTCGTTCAGTAACAAATTTCACTTCCAAAAAAGTGTTAGTATCTGATTTTCTACCTGCCTCAGCATGTTATTTGTCTGCCTTTGGGTAATCCAGCCTTGGGGAGAGAAGGAATTTGAGCCCAGGAAATTCATCTCCTGAACTGGTGTGCGTTTGTTTTCTTCGTTAAGATTTGGGATACATGTGCACAATGCGCAGGTTTGTTACATAGGTATACATGTGCCGTGGTGGTTTGCTGCAACTATCAACCCATCATATAGGTTTTAAGCCCTGAATGCATTAGATATTTGTCCTAATGCTCTCCCTCCCCTTCTCCGCAATCCCCTGACAAGCCCTGACGTGTGATGTTGCTCTCCCTGTGTCCATGTGTTCTCTCTGTTCATCTCCCACTTACGAATGAGAACATGTGGTGTTTGGTTTTCTGTTCCCGTGTTAGTTTGCTGAGAATAATAGCTTCTAGCTTCATCATGTCCTTGCAAGAAAAAATAAACTCATTCTTTTTTATGGCTGCATATTATTCCAAGGTATATCTGTACCACATTTTCTTTATACAGTCTATCACTGATGAACATTTGGGTTGGTTCCAAGTCTTTGCTATTGTAAATAATGCTGCAAAAAATAAACATACATGTGCATGTGTCTTTATAGTAGGATGATTTGTAATTCTTTGGGTATATACCCAGTGGTGGGATTGCTGGGTCAAATAGTATTTCTGGTTCTAGATCCTTGAGGAATCATCACACTGTCGTCCACAGTGGTTGAACTAATTTACATTCCCACCAACAGTGCGAAAGCATCCCTGTTTTTCCACAGCCTCACTAACATTGGCTGTTTCCTGACTTTTTAATAATAGTCGTTCTAACAGGCGTGAGGTGGTATCTCATTGTGGTTTTGATTTGTGTTTCTCTAATGACCAGTGATGATGAGCATTTTTTAATATGTTGTTTCGCCACATTTTGTCTATTCACAGAAACTAATATGCTGCCAATGATAAGGATAATTCATGATTTCTGAGACATTTACTTCTATAATCTCACAGTTCTAAGTCTAGAAAAATTATTAATAGAAAAGTGCTTATAAAGAGTAGGATAGATACTGAATCTAGCTTGTCTCACTTTCGAGCTAGTTCTTATGATTTCCCTTGGACTATATATTTTTGTCCAATCTCTAAGGGTTTGGTTTGGTTTGGTTACACTCTTCATTTTGCCAAGAACTAGTGAGCAGTGAAGCCACATTTCCAACCCTGGAAGTTGGAGACCATACTCTCAGCCAACTTACTGTTCTACACAGTTATGGGATCTGCCATCGCCTATAACTCTGCCTGCATTAGACTATGTGTACGACTACTGAATCACGCAGCAAGCAGAGTCAAACTGCTCAAACCAAACAGGTTATTTCCAGTCACACAAAAAGCACCTACTTAACAATAAGGGTCATTCATCCAAGGATTACTTTGCGCAGAATATATAATTCATTTCTTTTCCAATACCAAGACTGTGTTCAACCTAGACTGGAGGGTTTTAAATATCCCACACTTCAAAATAAGAGCTTGATGCAGTCTTAGAGGAAGTGGATCTTATACTCAAGGCTTTTCTCATTTTTAAGGATGCCCCAACTCCCATCATCATGTCTGAGAGCTTTGGACAAGGGACCACATATGTTTTTATAGGTTATTAGCTCCAGTAACTATACTTTAGGGAAGTAATAATGGTCATTTTTAAGTTTTAAAGAAGTGGTGTGTTTTTGTTGGTTTCATTTGTTTTTGGAGTCTGCTCTGTTACCCAGGCTGGAGTGCGGTTGTGCAAACTCAGCTCACTGCAATCTCTGCCTCCTGCATTCAAGTGATTTTTCTGCATTAGCCTCCCAAATAGGTGGGACTACAAGTGTGTGCCACCAGGCCGGGCTAACTTTTGTATTTTTAATAGAGACGGTGTTTGACCATGTTGGCCAGGCTGGTCTTGAACTCCTGGTCTCAAGTGATCTACCTGCCTCAGCCTCCCAAAGTGCTGGGATTACAGGCATGAGCCCCAGTGGTCAGACTTAAAGATGACTCTACCTATATTTAAAATGATCCTGCCTATATTTCCTCCCGAGTGCCTTATAATTCCTGACTTGTTTGAAAATTAATATTCTGAAACAGTTTCAGAAAAAAATTAAAGCCTTAGTGGTTGGTCACACCAAATGGGACTGTCAGAGCTCCTGCTGTTCACAAATATTGTCAAAATGGTATAACAGGCACTACTAAAGGGATTAAAGTCACTCTTATTTGAATGAACTCTAGACATTTTAAGTTCTGTGTCACCTGCATAGAATCTTTGTTCTTTGTCTCTCCCTTGTGGCCACTTAGAAAATCTTACAGCTCCTGATCATCAACTGAAACACTGAAATTGTTCCCATCATGGCAAACACAATCTCTGCCCTGGTTTTAATTTAAAAGAGATATTAATATTACCCTTCCCGTGAAGCAGTTGACTGGTCAATATGCTCTCTACTTGTGTTATCCTTAAAAATTCCCCAAATCAATTTACTTTTAGTGTGAGGGAAACAAAATCACCTACTCTTTATTTTATAATATTGTACTAAAATAGACTTCGATTCTTGGCATACCCCAGAGTTTCACTTTCATCAATTAAATATATAAAGCTATAATTAACATCTCATTAAATTTATGACTTTCATAAAATAGATGATTATTAAAAGTATAAAAGCCAATAGCCTTCCCAGAATGAGATGTTTTTGGCCATAGCAATGTCTAGACTACAGAGAAATATCTATATTACCATTCTTCTCTTAGGCTCCCCTTTCTAAGAAAGAGATACACAGATTGGTAGGCTACTAGAGGTAGCCCACTCGATATTTGGACAAGCTTCTCCAACCTAATTCTCTGGGATATGCATAAATTAGTGGCCTTCCACTGGAGAAAAGAAAAATCAGCTTCCCCAGAGTTCTTCAGGTCACAGTACAGCTGCTTTTCATTTGGCTCATACCACTCGGAGAAGGACACTCGGTTGCCTCAGATCTCCTCCTAGGCTGCACTACATGCCTTCAGACCCTGCTTTGAAAAGAACCACAAAACAAAACAATACTCACAAAAGGACATTAGGAGCCAGAGACCACTTACCAAAAACTAAGTTAGGTCAGGATCCCTAGAATCAAGATGGTTAAGGCTAATAATAACTCTACCAAAAAAATATAAAAGAAAAAAAAAAAGGATATGAGGAAGCACAATAAAACCCAGTTGATCAGGATTTCATCCATCCCTGGCTCAATAATTGCTTCATCAAATGGAGTCATGACCAGGGAATTCTGACCCTACCCCTAAAACTGGAGTCTGGAGTCTCTCTAACCTCATGGGCTTTTAC